GGCCTGGTCCTGGGGGAAGCAGGTGAGGGTGGGTCCTGCAGACACCCCAATCTCTGCATCTCTTTCTTCTTCCTGTTTTTCTTGCTTTTTAAATAATTCTCCCCTCTCTTCACCTTTCTTCCTCTCTCCTTTTTTTCAGCATTTCAACTTTTCTTTTTAGGACCTTCTTTTCTCCACTCTTCTCTGTTCCATTTCATCTCATTTTTTGAAGTTACCAACACAAGGGACTAGTTGCCAACACCTTGGGACAGGCCAAGGCAGGGCTCCTCACCAGGTTGTTGTAAGCACTGAGGCCTGTATGAGCCCTCTGTTCCTGGATGAGTTTAGTGAAAGGCACTTCAGGCATCCCTGGAGATCAGTAGGATTTAAGGTCCTCACTGATGGGTGGGAATATTCAGAGGATTTTTCTTGGAAGTAGTCATTGTTTTTCTTGGAATCTTGGGATTTCAATCAGTACCACCCAGAGGCGGGAATTCCATTCACAGCCAGAAACTAAGCCCTAGGTAGTGTTTTCTAATCCTAGAACCCATGGGGGGGGGGGGCGCCACTAGGAGGGGAAGGGAGAAGCTTTTTGGTCCCATCTGCTACAATCCAGGCCGATGCTATTTGAAGCTTGTCAGACTCTACATCCCTTTTGGACCCAGACCCGGGTGTCCACCAGCCAAGGGGTCTTCATTTTCACAGCCTGCAGGAGAGGCTGCCGAGCAGTCAGAGAAGCACTTCAATCTGCTTTTATGCCACCCAACAGGTTTTTCCTTTCTTTGAGCCAAAGTGGGGGTGGTGTGTGACTCATACTAAAATCATGTTCAAGACACTGCCCTGGATTTTTTGAGTCAGAGCTGAGTGGATTCATTTTCTTTTCCGGGAATGAGCAGTGGGACCCAAGATCAGCACAGAGAAAGTTACACGTATTCTTGTGAGTCCAGGGATCCTAAGGGGAGAGAGAGTGTGTGTGTGTGTGTTTAATGACAGAAAGAAGGTCGCTTGGGAAGGGGAGGTGCAGAAGAGCTTTGCAAAGAAGACTACCTGAGAGTCTTGGTAAGGAAGGAGCAGCCAGGCCTAGGTCCTGTCAGAGCCCCCAAATCCTAAGCCCAAGACCTGCAGGGCTTCTTTCCTTGCAGTCATATGTAAATGACTGCAAACCTAGCATGTAACTATTAGGTGATAAGTGTGTGGGGAGAATAAGCAGAATAAGACTGATTGTTTGAGCTGCCCCAGCTAAGAGTCCTATTAGGTCCCATAGTTGGAAGGCAGAGGCAGAAGCAGTCCTGAGGTAGACAACAGAGAGGAAAGACCTTGGGACCAGCTGCCAGGACAGCTGTGTTCCCTTTTCCACTCTGCATCACCATCACCTTGGGGATCTTCACTAATGAAAATAGCCTCTCAGAAAGGAGCCTGAACCCCAATCTTTCAATCACTTCTGTGCTAAAAAACAACAAAAAATTATCACAGCTAATAAAAAGGAAAGTAAGTCTTAGAGCTTGCCATTATGTCTCCATGAATGGCCTTTCCACCCACAGAAAAAGTATAGATGACAGCTTTAGGGAATATTTAGGAAGGATAGGTAGAGTTCATTTTTATAAAAGCATTTTCAGGGACAAAAAAAAAGATGAAATGAACAATTTCTGATCCTGGAGTGGTCTGCAGTCCACCAGGGGATGTCATTGATGGTAAGAGGGATTTGAGGCAAGGCACAGTTAGTACCCTCATGGGCCAGAACCCTGGTTCTGAAACTTGCCTACATATTTGCAGTGCCTCAGGAACTTTAAAAGACACTGCAGCCTAGTTCTCACCTTGCTTTACCTATTGAATAGGTTTTGGCTGTTGCCTGGGCACAGGGATATTAAGGACTCTCCAGGTGGTTCTTCTAAGCAGCCAAGGTGGAAAACAACTGACTCCATGTTCCCAAGATGTGTGTTGGGGACAAGGCAAACTTCCAGCAGAAGCAGCTTTCTTGTAAGCATGGTTACTACTATTATTACTGAGTTATTATTCATTTAGCAGAAGTCACACTTTGAAAGTGTGCAATTCGGTGGTTTTTAGTATAATTTTGAGGTTGTGCCATCACTACCACTGTGTTCATGTGATCATTTTAAGGATGTAGACAGGTCTGATAGTTGGAAGTCAGAGGCAGGAGCAGTCCCCAGGGAGTTTGCTTTGCAGTAGCATCCTGTTGAGATCAGGGGAAGCTGCTCTAACCTTAGCCTAGGAGAGATGTCACCAGGGAAATAAGGAGAGAGCGTGATGCTAGACAGCAGGTTGTGGCACCTGCGGGCTTTGATGAGAGTAGAGGCATCCTGTGTTAAAATCAGCAGATGCAGCAGCTGTGGGTTGGCTTGAAGCATTATGGTGACAATAGGAGATAGTCACAATATTTAGGAAGAAGCCTTTGCAGTATTCTGGGATAAAGGCAGTTGAAAGTCTGGACCAAGGTAGTGACTGTGAAGCTGTAAAAGGATTTCAGGAGCTGAGTGGAAAAGCCAGAGAGGCAGGGGAAAGGGTCAGTTAGAAAAGACCAAGGGTGATAATGGTATTAAGAGAAGTAGGGAAAGGGGGTGGGTGTGTAGTGGTTGGAGAGGTGTAGAGTGGGCTTATAGACTTTTCTGATTTAGGGGTTAAATGGGCCCAGAGTTGCTGATGCCCCAAGGAAGTCTGGTTGGTGTTGGAATGGTCCACGGGGAGCAGCCTAATGAGGCTCCTGAGTGGCCCTGGGAGAGCTGTGGCAGTTGCAGGATGTGGCCAGAGGAAAGGAGACCTGGCTGGATCTTGGAGTCAATGGCAGGAGAAGGAGCAGATTAGGATGGCTGAAACATCTAAGGGAGTTTGGAGCCTGAGCGATTTTAGTGCAAAAGAAGTAACTCGGAGCAGAGGTGGTTGAAATCTACAGAAAGCTCATATAATCTGGTTATTGGTGACATTGCCAGCAAGGCTGTACTTGATTGAGGGCAGTGTTCTAGGAGAGTAACAAGGCTTGACTACATAATTCACCTATCTGCCCTTACTTGCATGTCTAACCTACCCAGGGAATCCTAAATCACAGGTGCTTTTCAGACATTGAGGCTGGTGTGACCCAGTGAATATTTCCCAGTGTCTTTGGAATAGTTTAGCCTTGGTCCTATGCTTTGAGGGAAGTTCCATTTTAAGTGTAGCTCCTCCCTCTCTGCTCCTTATTGGTCTTTTTTTTTTAAGCTGTGAACTTTATTGTACTCACAATATCACAAATGATCCCATAATTATTGTTCAGATAATGAGTAATACAAATTATCCAACAGCATTATTTGAGTGTACACTGAAATATGAAGATATATAAAGAGTCATTCCTAAAAAATTGCTTGTAATTCAAATATTTACTAGAGAAATTTGAAATTTTGTTAAATCAAGAGTTTCTATAATAAAAATATTTATATTTTAGTTTCAAGTTTAAAGATTAGGATTTTATTAATATGAAGGACAGAATTATTTAAGTTTATCTCTATTGAAACATTATATAAAAAGTTGACCAAATAATCCTGTAGTTCTTTAGAGTGAACAGAATCTCAGAGATTTTAGAAAACATTTTAGAATTTTAACCTCCCACAAATGATACTTAATAAGAACAAGCGATCCAGATATAAAGGTAACAATGAAGGAGTAAAAAGTAAGAAAAACAATGGTAGTTTGAAGTCTGTTTCTCATCACCATTCCCAGCACTTTGAGCCTTCCCTGTTCAAATCTGTGAATTCTCTTGGGATCCTTCTTGGGCTGGAGAACCTGGCTCTGTCTGGCTAGGGCTGAGTCTCACTGTCACCTTCAGTGTGGACTGGCCTTCCGCTACACACCTGCCCAGAGAGTACAAGCTGCTTCCCTGTATGCTAGGTAGAGTCAGCTTGGCAGTCATACCATTCCCAGTACTCCCAGGTTGGCACCCTAAGATGCCAGTTTCTGGAATAATGTTCAGTGCAGTCTCATGGTGCACCCCAAACTCAGTGGAGCACTCTGGGCGGGGCCTGGGGGCGAACAAGAGACTTGCTCTAAAGCATCTTCCCTGTGAGTGGAGGGTTTCTAGCGTGTAGGGGTCTCAACTGTAAAATGTAGCAGGCACTTTTACTTTCTAAAACCAATGCGGAAGCTTTCTAAGGAGATTTCCATGTGTTTTTAGAGATGTGTTTGATCATCCCCTCTGTTTATAAAGCAGATAGGCACAAGAAACAGTGAAGAGTGGCGCACAACTATGAAAAGAGCGTCCCAGGAGTCGACAAGTCGACACATGCAAGTGGATTCTGCAGACACTAGAACACTAGAAGGAAACAGCACTAGGTTTTGTGTTAGAAACTCCAGATCTTTCAAGGATTCTTGTACACATACTTCTACCACCAGTACTGTGTGCGTATTCAAAGCTAGAGGGTTGTGGCCAGTGGCATCTGAAAGGAGAGAGTGGTGGTATGCACGGATATAACCCAGCACATAGCACACAGCACCCTCTCACAGCACTTAATTCCCAACCTTTGCACCCTTGGAACTTGCAGATCCTCCTGGTGCTCCTGGAGGTGGGCTGAAGGTCCCAGGGTTGCACGTGTCAACTCAATCACACAGCATCATTCCAGAGGGCACCTAGACACAGCATGCACTACTCCCAGCAGGAGCAGTTTCCTTGACCAAGTCGGTAAGTGGCATTTGCTCACGTCATGATTCTTCAGTGGAGAAGACTGCAGATGGGGGGAGAGGGGGAAAGAATGCAGATATGAACTCTTGGCTTCCTGTCCCTCCTTCCCCGTGTTTGGGCTGGAGGCGGCAGCTGTGCCAGAGAGGCCAGGCAGTGACTCACTCTTCAGTCGACTTAGGAGGTCCTCAGCTGCCACTTCCGCACTGCTTGCCTCGCCTTCTCCGCCCCGCCCGCCCCCTGCCCCGCCCCCCACCTCTCGCCCTCTTGATTGGTCGTGAGTTACAGCTAGACCTTTGGCCTCTGTCCTCATTGGGTGAGTGCTTGTAGATCAAACCCCGCCCCCCCAAATAAAGTTACACTTCACGAGAAACGGAGGAGTGGCAAACTGTTACTCCATGGAGCTCTCCGCTGTGCTGCTCCTGGCTGGCGCCGCAATTTGTGCATCTTTGGGTACCATAGCTGGTGAGTGCGCTCATTGTGGGTCTTCAGAAAGGTTTGGCGAATCCAGGTGGGCGGGCAAATTTCATGGGAGCCTCTACCCCGCCTGGCTGGCTCTGGAGAAGTGCAGAGCAGTGCGGGGCTGGGCGTGGTCGTTTTGCTACAAAACTTCAATGCCGCTTTTCAGGGTGCATTCTGGTTTTCTGCTGCACCCTGCTTCCCTCTTTCCCCTCTGATCCTTGCTCTTTGGGTGCCAAATTTTTAGGAAGCTCAGAGTCCTCGGGTCTCCCTTCTGGTTTGCACTTAGATATTCAAGTATCCCTGGAGGTCTGCCTTTCATGGGACCATCTATAATCAGTGATGGAGAGTTTCCAGCCCCCCTCCCCTCCCCGCCCTGTCCTCTTCCCGGAGTCAGCAGAGTGTTCTTCAGTGGAGAAGACTGCAGATGGGGGGGGGGGGGGATGCAGATATGCCCTCTTGGCTTCCTGTCCCTCCTTCCCCGTGTGTCTGGGCTGGAAGCAGCAGCTGTGCATAATTTGAAGTTAGGTGTTGTAATGCCCAGCATTGCTTTTTAGACTTAAAATTGCTTTGTATATTCTGGGTCTTTTATTATTTTGATTGCATTTTAGAATTGTTTCCTCTAATGCTGCCCCTGGCCAGCGCGGGCAGCTCAACTAAGATCATTCATATGAATTTGCAGGGACACAAAATAAAACACAGACACAACTTACCATTACACAAGCTTTAGGTCCGCTTCCCTGGCTCTCGGCCTGAGGCTCCCCAAAAGAGAGAGCAAGAGAAAGTCATGAGAGGCTGATGAGAAAGAGGGAACACGTTCAGAAGTCAGCTTTTTATTTGGGGGTGGGTGGGGGTCACTGTTTTTAGAAAGTTCTATCCATAAAAGGGCAGAAGGGGTAGGATTATAAGGGAACAGGTGAGAGTAACTCAACCTTAGGGTCACACCCACAAAGAAGACCTCCTTGCTCTCCAAGTGGGTCTGGCGCCCAAGCCACAACTAATGCAGTGGCTGGTCAGAGCCTGGTGCATCAGGACTGGAAGGCATGGTCATTCAGTGTGGCTCCCCACACTCTAGTTCTGTGAAAAAATATCATTGGTATTTTGGTGGGGATTGCATTAAATCTGTGACTTGCTTTAGGTTTTATGTTCATTTTAGCAATATTTATTCTGCCTATCTGAAAACATGGGATGTCTCTCCATGTTCTTGTTTCTTCTTCAATTTCTTTCTTCACTGTTCTATAGTTTACATCATAGAGATCTCTTACCTTCTTGGTTTGATTTATTCCTAGGTATTTTACTTTATGAGGCTCTAATGAGTGGAATTTTTTTTCTGATTTCTTTCTCAGGAGTTTCATTATTGTTGTACAGGAAAGCTATTGATTTTTGTATGTTGATTTTGTAACCTGCTACTTTGCTGAATTTGTTTATTGGTTCTAGCAGTCTTCTGATGGAGGTTTTTGGATCTTCTAAGTATGGGACTGTTTCATTTGCAGTCATTGATAATTTGACTTCTTCTTTTCCTATTTTTAATACCTTTGATTTTCTTCTCTTGCCTATTTGCTCTGTCTAGAATTTCTAGTAGTACATTGAATAGGAGTGATGAGTGTAGACATCCTCTTCTTGTTCCAGATTTTCATTGAAATGTTTTTAGTTTTTTCCCATTCGCTATGATATTGGCTTTGGATTTGTTGTATATAGCCTTTATAATATTGAAGTAAATTCCTTCTGTACTAGTTTCCTCATTTTCTTTATCATGAATGGGTGCCAAATTTTGTTGAAGGGTTTCTCTGCATCTATTGAGATGAGTATGTATCCTTATGTATCCTTAACTCTACTTATGTGGTGTATTCCATGTATTGATATATGAATGTTAATCCATCTTTGCATCACTTTGATCAATACATCTTTGTCATGATGTACAATCATCTTAATATATTATTGAATATAATTTGCTAATATTTTACTAAGAATTTTTGCATCTAAGTTCATCAGAGATATTGATCCATAGTGATACTGGTTTTGGTCTGATGGTGATACTGGCTCATAGAATGAATTGAAGTGTTCATTCTCACTCTATTTTTGGAATAATTTGAGGAGCATTGGCATGTATTCTTCTTTAACATTCAGTTTTTCAAAACTGTCCCTAATAATCCTCTGGATTTCTGTGATATCTGTAGAATTCAGCTGAGAATCATAGTGTTCCTGGGATTTTCTCTGTTGGATGGTGTTTTTTAGTCAGTTAGTGTGACCAAAAGTTCTTGCAAGAACAATTTTAGAAGAGGAAATGTTTATTTGCTACTCATGATTTTAGAGATCTCAGTCCATAGATGGCCCACTCCATTGTTCTGGGCCCTAGGTCAGGCAGAACATTATGGTGAAATGGCATGGAGGAGGAAAACAGCTCAGCACATAGCGACCAGAAGGAGGGAGAGAGAGAGAGAGAGAGAGAGAGAGAGAGAGAGAGAGAGAGAGAG